TGTAGAGACAATCCTCTGTCTATTTTATAGAGACAATCCTCTGTCTATTTTATAGAGACAATCCTCTGTCTATTTTATAGAGACAATCCTCTGTCTATTTTATAGAGACAATCCTCTGTCTATTTTGTAGAGACAATCCTCTGTCTATTTTATAGAGACAATCCTATGTCTATTTTATAGAGACAATCCTCTGTCTATTTTATAGAGACAATCCTCTGTCTATTTTATAGAGACAATCCTATGTCTATTTTATAGAGACAATCCTCTGTCTATTTTATAGAGACAATCCTCTGTCTATTTTATAGAGACAATCCTATGTCTATTTTATAGAGACAATCCTCTGTCTATTTTATAGAGACAATCCTCTGTCTATTTTGTAGAGACAATCCTCTGTCTATTTTATAGAGACAATCCTCTGTCTGTCAATTTTATAGTGACAATCCTCTGTCTATTTTATTATAGTAGAGACAATCCTCTGTCTATTTTATAGAGACAATCCTCTGTCTATTTTATAGAGACAATCCTCTGTCTATTTTATAGAGACAATCCTCTGTCTATTTTATAGAGACAATCCTATGTCTATTTTATAGTGACAATCCTCTGTCTATTTTATAGAGACAATCCTCTGTCTATTTTATAGTGACAATCCTATTTCTATTTTATAGTGACAATCCTCTGTCTATTTTATAGTGACAATCCTCTGTCTATTTTATAGAGACAATCCTCTGTCTATTTTATAGAGACAATCCTATTTCTATTTTATAGTGACAATCCTCTGTCTATTTTATAGAGACAATCCTATTTCTATTTTATAGTGATAATCCTCTGTCTATTTTATAGAGACAATCCTCTGTCTATTTTATAGAGACAATCCTATCTCTGTTTAATAGTGACACTCATTCTATTTCTTTGTGACGGTCATTTTTCTATTTTGTATTGACAGTTATCTGTTATAATGATGATAACTCAGAACAGTAGAACTGTCTATGTATAAAATATAAAAAATCATCTGATGGTTGGAATCTGCTGAATACTGTTGGGTTTTAATGACAAACAGCAATAAACAATGTCTTATTTTGAAAGTTTAATACAGAATAGCAGAGTTATAGGTTACATCTTCAATGCAAAATAGATACTTCTTTTCTCCAACTAAAAAATCAGCATCTTGATGAAAACATGAGTCAATCACCTCTGTGATTAATAAAGATTGACAATGAACTTTGACCTCGGCTAAACGGCTAAATCAGTTGGATACACATATACTGCCATCTATAAATCCCTGAACACTTTTTATGACAATTATTTTGAAATTTAGTCAAACTAGTGTTCATTGTCATACACCAACAGTGTGTACTAAGACCGTAAAATATCACATGATTTTTCAGAAATTTAAAAAAATGACAGCATTTTTCCACTGGCACAATAATTTTCTCAAATTTTATAAAAATATATTCCTCTCTTGACCGTTACTATTTCTTCAAAGAAGCAGAAAAATTTTCAAAGTATTCTCAATTCTCATCGACAAATTTTAAATTTTCTCACGCTATACACAAACAAGACAAAATAATGTGTCGGGGGATTTTTTTAACAAAGAAATTAAATATTGCACATCCTGTTAAGAGCCAATGTAGGATTAAAAATATAATTGAAGTAAAAGAAATGTGCCATTTTATCGTTTATTTCACATGAGCTATTTAGTGAACTTTCACCTTTAAAATTGATACAGAATCAGAAAAACTAGAACATCTCTCCAATCGAGTGTTGTTATTCATCAGATGACTAATGCATGAAACCACAAAATTTAAACAAGTTTGTCGATGCTCATGATATCCATATTGTGACAACAACTTACTCTGCTACCAAACCTACTGCTATACAATTAAGAATTCTGTGATTTTTTTAATCGCAAGAAAACCCAGATCTTGTCACGATCACTTAAAAAGGAATATCAAATTATAAAGCAGGACATAGACATGTATATGAAAAGCTGACATAATTAAATAGCCTGTTACTTTTCCTAATATAAAAGGCCCGATGTCATTATAACAACCAGTTATGGAGATTAATCAACAGTTTAAACAGTGTTTCACAAAATCACAGCAGAAGGAATGTGATAAAAAAATAATCATTAAAAGTAAGAAATATAGAATTTCCAGGTAACAGCAGCTACAAACACCAGCATGTATTATGATCTCAGCTTACAGGTAAGATGACGAGTGGCCATCAATATATTGGTTACACTATTGCTAACAACCAGAATAAAATTACTGTGAAACTGATTTGAAATAGAACATTTTAATAAATCTTTTAGAAAGATATGCCATCCAATTATTTCTCACTCATCCTAGTACATAGGTCTGCATTATAAAATATTAATTATAAGCTTTATAAAATCTGGAATGAGACAAAGGCATCCCAGAATGCCATCACAGGAAACAGGTTATTTGCATAGGCCGGACTTGTTTCAGTTCAGAATTTGTCTGATTATGTACAATGTCAACAATATCATTAAATAACAAGTTTATCAAATAAATATTATAATAAATATTAACTGTACATTGTTACATGGTCCAAATTAACAGTTTTCCTTAGACTTGTACAAGTCCTCACAATTATCTCTGTTCATAAATAACCCATAACTAAAGGAATCTAAAAGCTGAAAACAAGTGGAAAATGCTAGTGTCAGAAATTAACAAAGTCAGAGACATGGTATATTGGTCCTACATCAGTCAATAACAGGGCATTGTCAGTGTAGCATTACTAACACAGGATATTGTCAGTGTATTATCACTAACACAGGACATTGTCTGTGTAGTATTACTAACACAGCACATTGTCAGTGTAGCATTACTAACACAGCACATTGTCAGTGTAGTATTACTAACACAGGACTTGTCTGTGTAGCATTACTAACACAGGACATTGTCAGTGTAGTATTACTGACACAGGACATTGTCTGTGTAGTATTACTAACACAGGACATTGTCAGTGTAGTATTACTGACACAGCACATTGTCAGTGTAGCATTACTAACACAGCACATTGTCAGTGTAGCATTACTAACACAGCACATTGTCAGTGTAGTATTACTAACACAGGACTTGTCTGTGTAGCATTACTAACACAGGACATTGTCAGTGTAGTATCACTAACACAGGACATTGTCAGTGTAGTATTACTAACACAGGACATTGTCAGTGTAGTATCACTGACACAGGACATTGTCTGTGTAGTATTACTGACACAGGACATTGTCAGTGTAGTATTACTGACACAGCACATTGTCTGTGTAGTATTACTGACACAGGACATTGTCAGTGTAGTATTACTGACACAGCACATTGTCAGTTTAGTATTACTGACACAGGACATTGTCTGTGTAGTATTACTGACACAGCACATTTTCTGTGTAGCATTACTAACAGTATTTCTGACACAGGACATTGTCTGTGTAGTATTACTGACACAGGACATTGTCAGTGTAGTATTACTGACACAGGTCATTGTCTGTGTAGTATTACTGACACAGCATATTGTCAGTGTAGTATTACTGACACAGGACACTGTCAGTGTAGTATTACTGACACAGGACATTGTCAGTGTAGTATTACTGACACAGGACACTGTCAGTGTAGTATTACTGACACAGCATATTGTCAGTGTAGTATTACTGACACAGGACATTGTCAGTGTAGTATTACTGACACAGGACATTGTCAGTGTAGTATTACTGACACAGGACATTGTCAGTGTAGTATTACTGACACAGCATATTGTCAGTGTAGTATTACTGACACAGGACATTGTCAGTGTAGTATTACTGACACAGGACATTGTCAGTGTAGTATTACTGACACAGCATATTGTCAGTGTAGTATTACTGACACAGGACATTGTCAGTGTAGTATTACTGACACAGGACATTGTCAGTGTAGTATTACTGACACAGCACATTGTCAGTGTAGTATTACTGACACAGCACATTGTCATTGTAGTATTACTGACACAGCACATTGTCAGTGTAGTATTACTGACACAGGACATTGTCAGTGTAGTATTACTGACACAGCACATTGTCAGTGTAGTATTACTGACACAGGACATTGTCATTGTAGTATTACTGACACAGCACATTGTCATTGTAGTATTACTGACACAGCACATTGTCAGTGTAGTATTACTGACACAGGACATTGTCAGTGTAGTATTATTGACACAGCATATTGTCAGTGTAGTATTACTGACACAGGACATTGTCAGTGTAGTATTACTGACACAGGACATTGTCAGTGTAGTATTACTGACACAGCACATTGTCAGTGTAGTATTACTGACACAGCACATTGTCATTGTAGTATTACTGACACAGCACATTGTCAGTGTAGTATTACTGACACAGGACATTGTCAGTGTAGTATTACTGACACAGCACATTGTCAGTGTAGTATTACTGACACAGGACATTGTCATTGTAGTATTACTGACACAGCACATTGTCAGTGTAGTATTACTGACACAGGACATTGTCAGTGTAGTATTACTGACACAGGACATTGTCAGTGTAGTATTACTGACACAGGACATTGTCAGTGTAGTATTACTGACACAGGACATTGTCAGTGTAGTATTACTGACACAGGACATTGTCAGTGTAGTATTACTGACAAAGCATATTGTCAGTGTAGTATTACTGACACAGGACATTGTCAGTGTAGTATTACTGACACAGGACATTGTCAGTGTAGTATCACTGACACAGGACATTGTCAGTGTAGTATCACTGACACAGGACATTGTCTGTGTAGTATCACTGACACAGGACATTGTCTGTGTAGTATCACTGACACAGGACATTGTCAGTGTAGTATTACTGACACAGGACATTGTCAGTGTAGTATTACTGACACAGGACATTGTCTGTGTAGTATTACTGACACAGGACATTGTCAGTGTAGTATTACTGACACAGGACATTGTCAGTGTAGTATTACTGACACAGGACATTGTCAGTGTAGTATTACTAACACAGGACATTGTCAGTGTAGTATTACTAACACAGGACATTGTCAGTGTAGTATCACTGACACAGGACATTGTCAGTGTAGTATTAACACTGGCTGCAATTTAACTCAGTTTGACAGTATTGAAATTTACTGTTAAACATAACGATTCACAATTATGGGACTTGTACATGTCGAATTCCTGTGACAATGGTAATGATAGGTAATGTTTGATAAATACATAGAAAAATATACTTCACACAGGTATGTATGAAACAGCATCTTATAGCCATCTTGGTTATTTACAATCCTTTGTATGACAAACCATTGCACTAACAGCATTATTTAGAAGCAATTTTCCAACCATCTTCATGTACACTAAAACGTAGATGTCTATTGGTTATAACAACTATTAAACTGACGAATGATTTTTGGTCCTCATTTCAATACAATATCAGTGATAAAACAGGACTTGGTAAACAAGCACATAAAAATAGGCGACTGTAAAGATGCTGACTGCCGATGTCAGTGATTCGTGTCTATACCCAGACTAGAGTTCAGGTATTTAAAACATTGTTGTCACATGTAAAACTGTAAAGAGATTCATACCAGAATACATTCCATGTCCTGAAGAATGTAAAACCAACCACGACAAAACAGGTAAAATCTTATAAATCAGATTAAAACATAAGGTAACTGTGTTAAACAACAGTCACTTCTACAACACAACATTTCTATCAACAGAATAAAAAACAGGTCAATCTAACCTAGTTCACAAAGAACAATGTACACACTACTTCACACAGTGTGCTTTGTAATCTGACTGTAACATAGCTACTGCTTTCATACTCCATACAAACGATCAACTTCCAATACTGTGAAATCATATTTTTTGTGGGGCTCAAATTTCAAGGTTTCCTGAAAATGTATTTTTTTGTTGACACCTGATTTTGTGGTTCAGCCTTGATCACATAATTCACTAGTGCTATATATAATCCATGTTCACTTTGATCAGGTTAAAATTTGTGGACATTTTGTTGATTAAGAGTACATTCAAACTGAACCAAAATAAATTCCCCATGAAAAATAATCGTTTTAACACTTTATAAATATACTTTCATGCTCCACATAGTGACAAATGATCAACATCCATCTTCACTCTCAACACAACAACAAATAATAAACTTCAAACATACTTTATAAATACTGCTTTCATACTCCAATGAAGTGACAAATTCCTTTTTCTGTCTCCACACTCCGTACAACAACATGATAAACTTCGGAATCCATACGCCGTACAATGATGCATGATGTTTCATCAGTAATACCCACTCTCACTTGTAATACTACAGAGCATGACTTGTGCACCGTTGAAATAATCCCCATATAATTAAGATATGTGACAGTAATGACAAGATGGAAGTAATGCTGCGGTCAAAGTGGTGTTTCCATTGGATATTCATCCTCTCCAGGAACCTCACTCGTTTGCTCAGTATGTTGATCTGTAATTTTTGTCCTTTGTGCCTGCTCAGCAGGTGTGTGTGTGACTGTCACTATTGTTTGGCCACTAGCACCTGTTGTGTCTATAGCACTGGTAGATGGACCCTGCGACACAGCTGGTTGGCTTGACGAGGGGCCCTCCATATTAAGGCCCGGGGCTATGTTAGAAGGATTACTGGTACTGATGATATTTATAGCACTAATGTTTGGAACCTCTATCTGAATGTCACCACCTGTCACTACATTTCCATCATCATCTCGAGGCAGGGAGGGACGAGCATGTGAATTCTGGTCAGTGCCAACATGAGAACGATAAGTTGGGGGACGAGAGTTTGGTTGGTCCGCTCGGGATGGTGGGAATGTGATCTGTATGCCAGTTCTAACTGTGCTGGCCCGCGAGCGGTATGAGGGAGGTGGAGAGCTTGGTAAGCTATAGTCCTCCACTGGCACATCATCAAAGGTACGTGGCTGGTTCTGAGCCATTACTAACTGATGCTGAAACTCCTGCATAGACACGTTGTATGATGGTGGTGGGCGTCGATACTGGAACTCTGGGTACATCACACCTGTCAGAACATTACACAAGTTAATTAGCTGTAGAACATTGTATAATATATATCGCTAATACTAGAACTAGAGTATATTATGTATTACAATGAAACTTAAACATGAACAAAAACTTGTATAACCACTAACTTTCACCTTAAACAGGTGCTATAAGTTTCATCATCATTAACCTTATACAAACCACTTCCTGTATCACCACTAACCTTATACATCTACCTGTATCACCACTAACCCTTATACATCTACCTGTATCACTACTAACCTTATACCTGTATCACCACTAACCTTATACCTGTATCACCACTAACCTTATACCTGTATCACCACTAACCTTATACATCTACCTGTATCACCACTAACCTTATACCTGTATCACCACTAACCTTATACCTGTATCACCACTAACCTTATACATCTACCTGTATCACCACTAACCTTATACATCTACCTGTATCATCACTAACCTTATACATCTACCTGTATCACCACTAACCTTATACATCTACCTGTATCACCACTAACCTTATACATCTACCTGTATCACCACTAACCTTATACCTGTATCACCACTAACCTTATACCTGTATCACCACTAACCTTATACCTGTATCACCACTAACCTTATACCTGTATCACCACTAACCTGTTACCATCTTATACCTGTATCACCATTAACCTTATACCTGTATCACCACTAACTTATACCTGTATCACCACTAACCTTATACCTGTATCACCACTAACCTTATACATCTACCTGTATCACCACTAACCTTATACATCTACCTGTATCACCACTAACCTTATACATCTACCTGTATCACCACTAACCTTATACATCTACCTGTATCACCACTAACCTTATACCTGTATCACCACTAACCTTATACCTGTATCACCACTAACCTTACACCTGTATCACCACTAACCTTATACCTGTATCACCACTAACCTTATACCTGTATCACCACTAACCTTATACATCTACCTGTATCACCACTAACTTATACCTGTATCACCACTAACCTTATACCTGTATCACCACTAACTTTATACCTGTATCACCACTAACCTTATACAACTACCTGTATCACCACTAACCTTATTCATCTACCTGTAATACCACTAACCTTATACCTGTATCACCACTAACCTTATACCTGTATCACCACTAACCTTATACCTGTATCACCACTAACTTTATACCTGTATCACCACTAACCTTATACAACTACCTGTATCACCACTAACCTTATACATCTACCTGTAATACCACTAACCTTATACCTGTATCACCACTAACCTTATACAACTACCTGTATCACCACTAACCTTATACATCTACCTGTATCACCACTAACCTTATACCTGTATCACCACTAACCTTATACATCTACCTGTATCACCACTAACCTTATACCTGTATCACCATTAACCTTATACAACTACCTGTATCACCACTAACCTTATACATCTACCTGTATCACCACTAACCTTATACCTGTATCACCACTAACCGTATACATCTACCTGTATCATACTAACCTTATACCTGTATCACCACTACTACCTGTTATACCTGTATCACCACTAACCTTATACCTGTATCACACTACCTTATACACCTTATACTACCTGTATCACCACTAACCTTATACAACTACCTGTATCACCACTAACCTTATACATCTACCTGTATCACCACTGACCTTATACATCTACCTGTATCACCACTAACCTTATACAAGTATCACCACTAACCTTATACATCTACCTGTATCACCACTAACCTTATACATCTACCTGTATCACCACTAACCTTATACATCTACCTGTATCACCACTAACCTTATACAACTACCTGTATCACCACTAACCTTATACATCTACCTGTATCACCACTAACCTTATACATCTACCTGTATCACCACTGACCTTATACATCTACCTGTATCACCACTAACCTTATACTGTATCACCACTAACCTTATACATCTACCTGTATCACCACTAACCTTATACCTGTATCACCACTAACCTTATACATCTACCTGTATCACCACTAACCTTATACCTGTATCACCACTAACCGTATACATCTACCTGTATCACCACTAACCTTATACCTGTATCACCACTAACCTTATACCTGTATCACCACTAACCTTATACCTGTATCACCACTACCCTTATACATCTACCTGTATCACCACTAACCTTATACAACTACCTGTATCACCACTAACCTTATACATCTACCTGTATCACCACTAACCTTATACCTGTATCACCACTAACCGTATACATCTACCTGTATCACCACTAACCTTATACCTGTATCACCACTAACCTTATACCTGTATCACCACTACCCTTATACATCTACCTGTATCACCACTAACCTTATACATCTACCTGTATCACCACTAACCTTATACCTGTATCACCACTAACCGTATACATCTACCTGTATCACCACTAACCTTATACCTGTATCACCACTAACCTTATGTATCATCACCACTACCCTTATACATCTACCTGTATCACCACTAACCTTATACAAGTATCACCACTAACCTTATACATCTACCTGTATCACCACTAACCTTATACATCTACCTGTATCACCCCTAACCTTATACATCTACCTGTATCACCACTAACCTTATACAACTACCTGTATCACCACTAACCTTATACATCTACCTGTATCACCACTGACCTTATACATCTACCTGTATCACCACTAACCTTATACAAGTATCACCACTAACCTTATACATCTACCTGTATCACCACTAACCTTATACATCTACCTGTATCACCACTAACCTTATACAACTACCTGTATCACCACTAACCTTATACATCTACCTGTATCACCACTAACCTTATACATCTACCTGTATCACCACTAACCTTATACCTGTATCACCACTAACCTTATACATCTACCTGTATCACCACTAACCTTATACATCTACCTGTATCACCACTAACCTTATACATCTACCTGTATCACCACTAACCTTATACATCTACCTGTATCACCACTAACCTTATACATCTACCTGTATCACCACTAACCTTATACCTGTATCACCACTAACCTTATACATCTACCTGTATCACCACTAACCTTATACCTGTATCACCACTAACCTTATACATCTACCTGTATCACCACTAACCTTATACCTGTATCACCACTAACCTTATACCTGTATCACCACTAACCTTATACATCTACCTGTATCACCACTGACCTTATACATCTATCTGTATCACCATTGTTTTCATTCATCACTCTACCACAACATTTTTCACAGCTGACAAAGATCAATAAATCAGACATAGACAGACATGCATCATTAATTACCACTTTGAGACCAGTCTGTCACTTTTTACCTTCACTCATTCTATTTATTTTATATAATGTTGACAGGAGCAAGTGTCCATACTAACATCAAATATTTCATTTACACCTTTCTATCTTTCTTATAAGATTTTTTTCATAGGTCCATCATTTTTACTGCTGTATGTGATGGATGGTTTGTCAATACCTAGACAGGTAGGGGGCCTCAATGATCATAGCCAGAGTTACATTAATTACTTCTACACTTCACAACACAGATACTTTGATATCAACCCTTTAACATATTACTTATTTGACTCCACCAGACATTTACAACTGAATACATTTCGAAATTCTGAAAACAGGTTTTACTTGTCGGCAAATGACAGCATTTAATGGAAGGTAGACATTGTTTACTACAAATACATCAACATCGTCCAGCAAAATCTTATAACAAACAACTGACTTCTGTATGAGTAAACATGGAATAATTACATACATGCTAAGGAGTTTGACAGTGTATCAACAATTTCTTTGTCAAAATCACAAATTAAAGAAGACAGACCCATCTATCTGATCTAATCAGGCTATACTTAATTCTTTACCTGACATCCTGTTCCTACCTTAGTTACAGTACATACTCAGCAATTAGCCCTGGTGATACATACCTCCATACCATTGACCCTCCCCTCGTCGACGATGGTGACCATGGTGACGGTGTCGCCTTTCTCTGGGTTGATGACGAAAGTCTCCCAGTCCAAATAATGCATGTAAGGGTTCATGGCCCCTTGGTGTGCATTTCCATCCCACAGCCACCACAACAACAAGTAGAACACCCAATCCTGAAACAGGGAGTTATATGTTACACTACAATACAATCAAGTACCAATGCTATAGTACAAGTAACTTACATATGTCAGTAGAAGTAAGCCGATACTGCTATTGTAACAATGACCCTTCTGTATAGACATAAACATTTCGTTTACATTAAAATGTCACAGGCTCCTTATTTTGAAAGGTACTTTCACTTTCACCAAAGTGAATAATGAATTTTAAGACAAGTCTTTCTTGTTTCCCATATTTACTGGAAACTGAGGTTAACAATCTGCATCTACATTAACACTATCGTGAACAAGAGGGACCTTTCATGTTTAGATCTCTGAATAAAATTGTAACCATGATTATGTTAGTGCAACTCTTCTAAGAGATCTTTTGTTTGTGAACTGTAGCAGGTTTGTAGTTCTGCACCAGTAAAACCCTGTGTTACCACCTCTACAATACTCCAGTGATGACAGGTACAGTCCATGTATAGATTATTTTGCCAGATGAATAGTTTTACCTGTGTTAGACCAGTGTGACATGGCTTGTAGTTTACTTAGTTTGTTGACTCTATTGATTGATTGAAAAGTAAATGTGCTTTTTTTTTTTTTTTTAGAGAAGTTTTTCTCTTTAATAATCATTAAATGCTATGCTACTTTTGAAGTAAGCCTTCCTATTGGTGGCTTTACGTTGAGTGTGTGCTCTCATCGCAAAGGCACCATTCTGACCTGTACCAGGAAGTTTTGTAGCTCACTTTTAATCCTGAAGTTAATATTCTATGTAGCAGTAGTAGTTGCACTCGTGGCTTATACTCTGAGCTGCTAGGTTTATTCTTTTTATCACTGAAGAAAGCCTTGGTTTGTCTGCTGGATATAATGTATATTGCCAGCATCATTTTGGGGGTCTCCTGGTAGTAACTGGTGCTATTTCACTGAACAACATAAGGAAGGCCCATCAGATGGGAAATACAAAACCACCTATGAATCATAGAACTACACACCTCAGATCTTCACCTGTTCAACTCTTTACCTACTCTTATTGTCACACTCACAAAGAGTTTTAAACTTGGGTGAGACACTGGACCTCCTATCTGAACTACTGTGCTAGCCTTTAACATACCAGACAAGCTATAGATATCTATTATTTTGAGATGAAATCATGCAGGTTCAAGATCCAGACAATCAGCAGGAATAGTATTGTCAAAAGCTAATTAAATGCACCATCTGCCTTATGTGGATATATAATCTGGCTTACCCCTGTGTAAAGTGATCACAGAAAAGTCAAACATCTCATCTATATTCCCTAAAACCAGCCATTAAATCCTGTCTATACCCCCAAACCATGACAGCTTATAGATATCTCAAAAACCAATCTCAAGATATTATGATAATGTCTGACCTGTAAGATAATCTCCCTAGTCTACAAATCTGTTTTACACAAAGAGCTTACACAGAACTACATATCTAAATCCATTATAAATCTGTATCACAATAAACATTTTTGTTTATAGTAAACAACCCAATTCTAAGATACTGAGTTGACAAAGGGCATTACCCCTAACCAGGTAAGACAGATATATGCCAATTGATCTTATCAAACTTTGTTTACAAAAGAAAGACAACAAACAGAAAAAAACACATACCTCAATTACATTATTGGAGAGAAAATTTTAACAGTAAATTTCACGCCAGAAATTATGACTGGAGCATAAATTATCAACCATTGTGTAATTAGGATTATTCATAGAGAGTACAGGTTATGTGTTTCATTATCGTATATATTGTATAACAGGATGAAAAGTTCAGTAGTTCAATAGGAACTGTTCCCTACTAGGTTAAATTTCTGCTGAGTCAAATTTAACAATACTTTTTGAAGTAATGTTTTTCATTAATATCTGATGTATGTTACTGTTTAACAAGGAGCACGTACACCTGAGAGTTCTATGTATACACAAATATATACTGCAGTGTTTACGGTCTAAAACACAAACTTTGTGGATCAATTACAGAATAGTTTAGTGAAGAGTTTAATTTCATGAGGCTTAAATTTTGGGGTTGTCCTGGGTTGGACAAGTTCAGATATTAAATTTCGTGTATGTCACAACATCCTGTTATCTTTAATGAACGTGAATATAGCACAATCAAAACCTCTGCAAATATTACAAACTATACAGATGCTACCTCATAATACACTCTATTAAAAACCTTGCTAGGTTATATTAACTTAGATACAGAAACATGTTAACATCCTTGATATCAGCCAATACATAATTACAACATGTTACAGTGGAGCACCTTAAACATTCTAAGTGACCAGACTCTCCACCATCTGTCTCTAGGTATATACCAATTGATTTACTCTGCTATCAAATTATCAATATCTACATAAATTATTGATATCATAATTAGTTGTCAAATAAATAAGTAACACCTAGTACTTCAGAGTCAGCGAGAATGACTTGTCTGATTCTCTCAGAGACCTACATGTTCCCTATACTATTGTCTGATTCTCTCAGAGACCTACATGTTCCCTATACTATTGTCTGATTCTCTCAGAGACCTACATGTTCCCTATACTATTGTCTGATTCTCTCAGAGACCTACATGTTCCCTATACTATTGTCTGATTCTCTCAGAGACCTACATGTTCCCTATACTATTGTCTGATTCTCTCAGAGACCTACATGTTCCCTATACTATTGTCTGATTCTCTCAGAGACCTACATGTTCCCTATACTATTGTCTGATTCTCTCAGAGACCTACATGTTCCCTATACTATTGTCTGATTCTCTCAGAGACCTACATGTTCCCTATACTATTGTCTGATTCTCTCGGAGACCTACATGTTCCCTATACTATTGTCTGATTCTCTCAGAGACCTACATGTTCCGTATACTATTGTCTGATTCTCTCAGAGACCTACATGTTCCCTATACTATTGTCTGATTCTCTCAGAGACCTACATGTTCCCTATACTAATGTGTGATTCTCTCAGAGACCTACATGTTCTCTATTCTATTGTCTGATTCTCTCAGAGACCTACATGTTCTCTATTCTATAGCCTGATTCTCTCAGAGACCTACATGTTCCCTATACTAATGTCTGATTCTCTCAGAGACCTACATGTTCCCTATACTAATGTCTGATTCTCTCAGAGACCTACATGTTCCCTATACTAATGTCTGATTCTCTCAGAGACCTACATGTTCTCTATTCTATTGTCTGATTCTCTCAGAGACCTACATGTTCTCTATTCTATAGCCTGATTCTCTCAGAGACCTACATGTTCCCTATACTATTGTCTGATTCTCTCAGAGACCTACATGTTCCCTATACTATTGTCTGATTCTCTCAGAGACCTACATGTTCCCTATACTAATGTCTGATTCTCTCAGAGACCTACATGTTCCCTATACTAATGTCTGATTCTCTCAGAGACCTACATGTTCCCTATACTATTGTCTGATTCTCTCAGAGATCTACATGTTCCCTATACTATTGTCTGATTCTCTCAGAGACCTACATGTTCCCTATACTATTGTCTGATTCTCTCAGAGACCTACATGTTCCCTATACTATTGTCTGATTCTCTCAGAGACCTACATGTTCCCTATACTAATGTGTGATTCTCTCAGAGACCTACATGTTCCCTATACTAATGTCTGATTCTCTCAGAGACCTACATGTTCCCTATACTAATGTCTGATTCTCTCAGAGACCTACATGTTCTCTATTCTATTGTCTGATTCTCTCAGAGACCTAGATGTTCCCTATACTATTGTCTGATTCTCTCAGAGACCTACATGTTCCCTATACTATTGTCTGATTCTCTCAGAGACCTACATGTTCCCTATACTAATGTCTGATTCTCTCAGAGACCTACATGTTCCCTATACTATTGTCTGATTCTCTCAGAGACCTACATGTTCCCTATACTAATGTGTGATTCTCTCAGAGACCTACATGTTCCCTATACTATTGTCTGATTCTCTCAGAGACCTACATGTTCTCTATTCTATTGTCTGATTCTCTCAGAGACCTACATGTTCTCTATTCTATAGCCTGATTCTCTCAGAGACCTACATGTTCCCTATACTATTGTCTGATTCTCTCAGAGACCTACATGTTCCCTATACTATTGTCTGATTCTCTCAGAGACCTACATGTTCCCTATACTATTGTCTGATTCTCTCAGAGACCTACATGTTCCCTATACTATTGTCTGATTCTCTCAGAGACCTACATGTTCCCTATACTATTGTCTGATTCTCTCAGAGACCTACATGTTCCCTATACTAATGTCTGATTCTCTCAGAGACCTACATGTTCCCTATACTATTGTCTGATTCTCTCAGAGACCTACATGTTCCCTATACTAATGTGTGATTCTCTCAGAGACCTACATGTTCCCTATACTATTGTCTGATTCTCTCAGAGACCTACATGTTCTCTATTCTATTGTCTGATTCTCTCAGAGACCTACATGTTCTCTATTCTATAGCCTGATTCTCTCAGAGACCTACATGTTCCCTATACTATTGTCTGATTCTCTCAGAGACCTACATGTTCCCTATACTATTGTCTGATTCTCTCAGAGACCTACATGTTCCCTATACTATTGTCTGATTCTCTCAGAGACCTACATGTTCCCTATACTATTGTCTGATTCTCTCAGAGACCTACATGTTCCCTATACTATTGTCTGATTCTCTCAGAGATCTACATGTTCCCTATACTATTGTCTGATTCTCTCAGAGACCTACATGTTCCCTATACTATTGTCTGATTCTCTCAGAGACCTACATGTTCCCTATACTATTGTCTGATTCTCTCAGAGACCTACATGTTCCCTATACTAATGTCTGATTCTCTCAGAGACCTACATGTTCCCTATACTATTGTCTGATTCTCTCAGAGACCTACATGTTCCCTATTCTAATGTCTGATTCTCTCAGAGACCTACATGTTCCCTATTCTGTGTCTACAACATTGGGACATCATGCTTATATCCAGACAACATTGG